GAGAGAGAGAGAGAGAGAGAGAAATAGGGAGAAAGAAAGAGAGAGAGAGGAGAGTGAGAAAGAGAGAGAGAAATAATGAGAAAGAAAGACAGATAGATATTAACCTCATGACTATGTTTGCCCTCGCAGCGTGGAGGAGGCGGGTAAGATCGCATTCCGAGTGTTCCCGAGCAGTGGAAGCATCTATGAGTCACACGCCAAAGGCACGTTCTTCTGGGACGACGGTGTCTCCATAGGTAAACACTCACACACTCCACCTGACATGACGAGAAATCTGACATTTACTGGAGCTGCGAGTATGTAGAAGTTTCAGGGGTTCGTTGTCAGAACCAAAATTAGTCTTAACATTAGTATTAACATTCGTCACCTTTGAATCGTAGACTGTTGACAGAACATCGTAAAGTTACGAGAAAGAGAAATCCTCGCAAATTTCTCTTAACTTAACGATGTTTCTGACAATGCCGCAGCTTCATAGAACAGTAATGATCAACGCGTGCGTCTCGTAAGTCTTCTTTTAATTTTCAGATACGTATGAAAACGGTCACTACTTTGAAGCGTTTACGTTCTACAAGAAGGTAAGTGTTGTGCTTCTTCTAGCCACGGCTAGTATGGGCGATAACACCTGAATTGTATGAGACCATAGTCTTTCATATATTCTGTATTTCGTCATGTACTTTGTCGAGCTAATCAGTATCTATATATAGCTATTAATATTAGGCTTGTACGTCCTATTGCACTATTTTCTCAATATTGCATTATACGTCACGGTCCACGTGTATATAGCAAACTAGCTCCGTATATTTACAAATTCACTGCGTGTGTAAAGGGAGAGACTAGGCACAAATGTTTATCGGCGGACTAAATCGGAGCGACTCAATCGCAGCGTGAAAATCGCCTAGTGTGTCCAGTCAGTCGCGCCGATTAGTACGATTGTAGTCGCCGCCGCATTTAGTCGACGATTCAATCGAACATCGATCAAACGTTTTGATATACGGGGCGTATTATTTTCAGTCGTGCGACTAATCGCGGATGTGTCCACTCGACTCGCGCGATAGAATCGGGCGAATAAAGTCGCCCGATTAGATCGCATTAAAATCGCCTAGTGTGTCCGGCCCTTTATAGACGTGTGCGTGTGTGTCGCGTGTCTTCAGTCTAAGTTTACGCTGACGGTGAGTCATAGCGACCCTGATGCTGCTGCCGCCACACTGCCCGTCATAGACACACTGATAGTGCATGCCGTGATGGGGGGCCAACCGAAATACGTACTAGTCAACGGCGTAGCTAGGGATGATGTAACGATCACCTGGACCGAATTTACGGAGGTGAGGATAACTAGAGTTAATGTTTAATTACGATTGTTATTAATTTAGATATTTAATTATTAAAGTTGATGATTTAATATTTAATAATTTTTTAAAGTTAGAATTAGAAGAGAGATTTAAAAGAGAAATTAGTCTTAAAGTCTGCGATAATGTATCATTATGTAGTTTGCGCTCATATATATCCCTCCGCGTTTTCAAATTAAAGGATGAGAGAGAGAGAGAGAGAGAGAGAGAGGAGAGAGAGAGAGAGAGAGACAGAGGAAAGCGCGAGCCGAAAGAGAGAACGGCAGAAAAGGGGAAGGAGTTTTTAGAATTCCTTGGGTGGCTTTGCGATTCATTTAGTCATCTTTTTTCTTCTTCGTTCTAATGTATGTAGTTCTTCACCCTCGTGTTTCAGACATGGCGTAGACGGTCTTTTTTTTTTTGGGTTTTTTTTTTCTTTTTGTTTTTTTTAAGCTGACGATAGACGACACCTGACGTGGGTTACAGGTGAGCCATGCCACGCTACTAAACCTCAGCCACTCTACATACACAACAACTGTATTAAACTTCTCTTATACCTACCTATCATGAAATCTGGTTATCTTCATTATCTATCTGATATCTCGACTCTCTCTCTATCCTTTCGCTTTCTCTCTCTCTCGTCTTTCTCTCTCGTCTCTTCTCCTCTCTGCCTTTTACTCTCACTCATCTTCTCTCGCTTTTCTCCTTCTCTCGGGGCTCTCCCAGTCTCTTTTCTTGCCCTTACCTCTTCCTTCTCTCTCTCGTTCTCTCTCTCTCTCTCTCTCTGCTTCTCTCTCTCTCTCGTCTATGTATCTAATCTCTCTCTTCTCTCTGATCTTCTCTCTCTCTCTCTCTTATGTATCTCTCTCTCTGCTCTATGAGTCCTCTCTCTCTCTCTCGCCCACGCCTCTCCCCCTTCTCTCTCTCTCTCCCCCCCCAGCCTCTCCCCCTCTCTCTCGCCCCAGCCTCTCCCCCCCTCTCTCTCGCACCACCTTCTCTCAGTAACCTCTAACTATCAGACTATACTTCCAGGGTCGACCCTGTATTAACGGATGACGTGTTAGAACGCGTCGACTGCTATCCCTCTGGTGACGTGACGGAGGAACAATGCGTGGACAGAGGATGCGTATACTTAACTTCAGACATCGACCGCGTTCCACAGTAAGCACACCAGCATCTCACTTGCTACCTCAACATATATGTGTGTTTTTTTGCTGCTCCGTGTAGTTATATATCCCGCCTATATACGGTGTGTGTAGATAGACTATAGATACGTAGATATACAGCGGCATTCGGCGTATAAATGCTGTGAGTATGTGGAATAGCGATTGCGTAATGTATGCTTACATGTTACATATATATATATATATCGTATCGAATATGTAATATCAATACTACTGCTACTGCTACTGCTACTACTACTACTACTACTAATGCTGGCTACTACTATAATACTACTACTACTTACTACTACTTAACTACTACTAATACTAATAAATAAGTTTATGAATAATAACAATATAATAATAATAATTAGAGACACTCGGAGAGCACAGACCTCCGCCAAGGCCAGCTGAATTCTCATATGTAAAAATTTTTAATTAATTATAATTAATATGGGAAAAATTAATTAATTTAAATTAAATATTTAATTGGGATCCGGATTGTGCGAGCATCCTGTAGGTGGGGGAGGACTGTGGTTGCCTTAGCCTGTGCGTTTGCGTGTTTTGTAAGTCTCAGCAGCGGCACTAGCGGAAGAGAATGAAACGTGCATGTTAACAAAACCCACAAACTCAACACTCAAACACACGCCGGTGAAAACATTAACTACGCAAGCCCCTGGCGGAGGTGATATAATAATATAATAACAACAATAAAAATGGGATGTTCTGACTTTCCCCGCGTTGCTTCTACCCACCAGGACCGGGACCAGGATCAATCCTTTTGGCTACCACGCTAGTTGACCTGGAGTGTACCAAGCTGCAGACAGACCTATGTGCTCAGGCGGCGCTCTGACAGCTCCATGTATGGGAGCAGACCTAACTTGACGTCACGCTGCAGGGTTGAACACTGGCGACGGACGGACGTGCTTGCGAGTGAGGTGACCGTGCACGCACGCCGCACGCACGCACGCACAGATACGCAACGCACGAACGCACGCTACGCACGCACGCACGCACGCACGCACGTCACTCACGCAACGCCCCACGCGCCCTCACGAACGCATGCACGCAAGCAACGAACGCACGCACGCAGCACGGTACGCGCACACGCGCACGCACACGCACCAGCACGCACGCACAACGCAGCGCGCACCCACGTTGGCATGCACTCACGACCAGCACTCACGCACGCACGCAAGGTTACGTACGCACGCACGCACGCACGTATGCAGCAACACACCGACAGCATGCACGCACACGCCAAAGCACGGCACGCCGCACGCACGCATGCACGCAGACACGCTTGGACGCCGACGCACACGCACGCACGCACGCACACACGCGCATCCACGATATGATGCACACACGCCCGCCCTGCATCGCACGCACGCACGTACGCACGCACGCACGCACGCACCGCACGTATGCGACAGCCACCGCCAGCATGCACGCACACCGCCAACGCACGCACGCACGCACGCACGCATGCACGCAGCACACGCTTGTACGCACGCCGCATGCAGACGCCGCACGTAATGCAACGCCTACTGACCACCATGCACGATCGCCAACGGACGCACCACGTGTGCACGTACACACGCCATTCACGTACGCATGCCCAAGTACAACGCATGCACGCACGTACGCACATACGCATGCAGCACGCCGACACGACGGACAAGTAAGCGACGCCACCAACCACGCATGCACGCCACGCATTTCACGCACGCTCGTATCTACGTACGCGCTCATGCACACGCACGCACGCACGCACGCACGTATCTACGTACGCACTCACGCACACGCATTCACGCACGCTCGTATCTACGTACGCGGCTCAATGCGCACGACACGCACGCACGCACGCAACGTTCTACGTAGCGCGTCATGAGACACGCACGCACGCACAGTAACCTACGTATCTACCGCGCACACGCATTCACGCACGCAAGCAATGCCGGGCCTCATCACCTGGTAGTCTAGCGCCTAACCTTTCTTTACCTTTATCATCTCGTCGGTTAGTTTACATCTCTTCTTTATCTTACAGTTTCACGTCGGCGATAGGTTTGAACCTCCCGTCCCGATTATAAAGTCAGACACGAAGGCATTGGCGCCACTTTACACTGTAGAGGTCGCCAACGACGCTACCGGCAACGTCTACCTGGTCGTGTCTAGAACGGACACCAGCGAAATACTGTGAGTGTAGCATGAGTGTAGTGTGAGTGTAGCGTGAGTGAAGTGTGAGTGTAGCGTGGGTGAAGTGTGAGTGTAGCGTGAGTGAAGTGTGAGTGTAGCGTGAGTGAAGTGTGAGTGTAGCGTGAGTGAAGTGTGAGTGTAGCGTNGAGAAAGAGAGAGAGAGATAGAAAGAGAGAAAGCGAGAGCGAAGGAGAGAAACGGAGAAAAGGGGAAGAGTTTTTTTAAATCACTTGTGTGTCTTTTGCGATCATTTAAGTCATCTTTTTTCTTCTTCGTTCTCATGTATGTAGTTCTCACCTCGTGTTTCAGACTGTGCGGGTAGACGGTCTAGCGGCACCGATACACGAACACCTGACCGTGGAATTCAGGTGAGCCATGCCACCGTACTAAACCCTACAGCCACTATACATACACACACACCTGTATTAACTACTCTTATACCTACCTATCTGAATCTGTCTATCTATCTATCTATCTATCTATCTATCTATCTCTCGCTCTCT